GGATACATGTCAAATTTGTGTTTTTTGTTGATGTATTTTTAAAATCTAGCTATGCTATATTCCATTTTAAAAAATCTAAAAATGAAAGTATGATTGAATAATTCATGAATGATAAAAAAAATGCTGGAACATGCCACTGTAATGTATTGACACAGAAAATATCAAATAAACCAGGAAGTTTTCACAATGAACTCATTGTTTACACTGTCTTTTGGAATGTCACTATCTTAGGTAGTGGGTTCTCCCCGCCTATTCACACAGTTCATACCCACCATAGGCTCCGGACAGTCTATTTTGAACTGTCGGCATTAATCTGAGATTCAGCCAATGGCGGAGAGAGAAACCTAGGTCAGAGGAAGACCTCAAGATTTTTCTTTACATTACGAACCATGTGACCGGGGCAATGAGGCGCCGTCATATTGCCTTTATTCTCACCACCGATGACTAAGCCAACGCTAAAGAAAAAGTGGAGTGGTCGGGAAGTCTATGGTGGGTATGAACACCTTCTGCCTAAATTCACTACATTCAATTTCCAATCATGGACTCCGGTCAGTCAAAATGACCATTTTGAACTGTAGGCAGAGTCAGACGCCGATAGTTGGCGGGTTTCCGAGAGAACCGAATCTGCCACCCGCCGAACATATGCCCAGCCCCCTTGTCGCAAGCGGAAGTATCAAACTTGCTTTCCACATTTCACAAGTAAATAACTTTCTTGTTTTCAAAGTTTTGCAATTGTTGATTAGTAATCAGTAGTGATGCAGCCAGCCAGTCCGTGCATTTCTATCAACACACGGCAGCACGCAAATTTAGAAAAGTATTTTTCTGAATACATCACCATTGTACCGTGACTGATTGGCTGAAAAGTTTCTCAGCCAGGCCGGATTGGGTAGTGATTGGTTTGCTATTTGATTAGATCTTGCAGCCCTACAAACAGAGATTTGAAGTATATTGCTAGAAATGCATCATTTGTTGTCCATTTATATTCTCAATTACAAGGAAATGAAAATGTGATTGAATAAATCATGAATGATAAAAAAAATGCTGGTACATGCCACTGTAATGTAATGTAATGTAATGACACAGAAAATCTCAAATAAATCAGGAAGTTTTCACAATGAACTCATTGTTTACTCTGTCATTTGGAATGTCATCATCTGCACTACATCTTATTAGATTAGTAGTCATATAATAACATTACAAAAGTATTTATTCTGATGTATCAAATAAAGTAGTCCCAAAAACATCAGTTGTTTATTCGAGGGGTACACTTATTAATATGTTAGTGACAGTTCAGTAACCTCATCACAAATGCAACATTAATTTTTAAATCAAAAAATTAGTAGTTTTCGAAAGATAAATTTGAACACTTTTTATGGTGATAACAGCTCATTGTCAAAATGAATTTTACACATTCACAATAGAGATTTTACAGTAAACACAAACAGATTGTTCAATTTACTATATGGTAGCTGTATATGTATACTTCAAAAGCTGTGAACACACTGTTGACCTACTTGTATTACAAATGTACGAGAGCCGTAAACATACAACCAACTGTCATTATGTATATGCATTGTTGCTGTTTCATAGACACTTGTGAACTAAAACACAAAGTTATTTCTGAACTAAGTTTTCACCAATTTACAAACTGTAATCATGGTTAAAAGAATAAAACAATAACAGCCGAGTCAACTCTTCAATTAGGCTCATCTGTTTGTTCATCTGTTTGTTCATTTGTTTACTAATTTTTAATTTGGTTTCACTAATAAGCCAGTATAGGAGCACACAAAGATGCTACAAAGAGAGGAAACTTACCAGAAAGGTTTCATTACAGTGGCCACAGATCACACGGCTACCAACTTGTGTTCTAACAGTTGCTACGGTAATAGGACCAAGATTAATAATTCTCTTACAGTTGGTCCTCGGACATGCGATTCTTTGAGATGTATTCTTACAGATCAATAGGCAGTTACATGGACATCGCACATATTTCTTTCCTGCCGGAGCTTCCTTGATTGGCTGCAGAGAGATAAGATATATGAAAATTGATTGCCAGGTTCACTGCAGTGGTGATGCATGCATTATTGGTTGTAATAATGAGATTTGTGTTTACAACAAAAAAAGAAACCATTCAAATACAATTTGTAAAAATGTACTAATTTTAACATCATATTAATAATGATTGTCTACACCAGTGTTTAAAATTTCACAAAATTATACCAGACTCCAGGACTAGTAACTTTCAAATTTCACCAGCCTTGCATTAAAGATTATTAAAATACTTCTGTTCCTCGTCCAAATAAACACACTAAGTCATTTTATTTAGAAGAAGACAATGACCAGAACAGTGTAAATGATGTCAGTGTTTTTTTGTATCCCTTTCATCTAGATCTGAGAAGTCTGATTTATGTTTGGAGTGAGAATCTAAAGCTACCAGCTGAGCAACTGTAGTTTCTACTGTTACACAAATACCCAAATGTGTTCTGTCTCATATGACGGCACTAATCTTTTCGTCTTGTTTTTGTTTAGGTCTTACATGTACTGTAGTTTAAACCCCTGCTCGATCATAAGCCCTTCTCCAAACTTACAGCATTTTACAACAAGTCATTTATCCGATAAAAATGCCAACTGCCAACACGCTGTGTATTATAATTTTCGATTTGCCCATGGTCATGTTAAATTCACTGCAGAAAAACCTGGGAGAAAGGCATGTGCTTCAGTCGCTGGTAACTGTGTTTAATTGCCTAATCCACAGATTTGTTTTTAAAGAAACATTGCCTTTGTTTCATGTTGCGAATGAGAGAAACACTTGTTTGATTGACAGGTCTTTGGTTATCAGCACCGACAATTTTTGGCGATGATGTAAGAATGAGGTGCGAAACATATGTTCATCTACCAGTACATGACACAAAGCATTTTTAATTTGGTTGGTTTACTCTTCAACAATGACGATGGGGAAGACAGTGATTTTGAGTTCGATGGATTTAATTTCAACGATGAAGGAAATTGAAATTGAAGTGATCTTCGCAGCTACTTCGAACATTGAATATAACGTACTGAAAAACTCTTGACTGACAAGCTGATCTCCCACCTAACATACTGAACTTTCGACTGTAAACATGTACCACTAAATCGTTTTTTGTTTTTTTTCGCTTTGAGGTCGACAAACTGTATATAATTTATTTATTTGTGATTTCAAGTGAAATAAATAAGGTGTAAATCATATATAGTGTGATTGCTTTTTTTATCATTTGAACGTCATGGCGTCGTAATGACATTATGATTTGAATAAACAAACATGTATGTAATGAACTTTCCGTGACCCTATCCTTGTGACCCGGGACTCTGATAAATGCATCCTGTTTCGGGTGTCATATTATAGCTTTTTTTTAAAACTATCATTTAATCAGAAAAGACGATACCAGAGTACAGTTTGTACCCAAAAACATACAGCCCAATATTCACGTGAAACATAGGGTCGAATGCAGTTCCACTTAGTAAACCCACCCAAGAGTGATTTAGTGACTGTCACGAGGTGACTAGAAATGCTGTACAGATGCCTAGATACATATTATACTTGTGTAATTTACCGTATTACCCCGGGCACGCGCCCCTCCCTGGGCAAGCGCCCACCCCCCTGTTTTCACAAAAGTTACATGTTGGGGACATCCTCGGTTAAACGCCCAGGGTGATTTTTAGCCAAGAACGGGGTCAACAATAAAGTTTTATTTGTCAAAAACGAACACGTTTGGTTTATTTAAATAGTGTGTTTGTTACGGTAGTTCTCTTTTTGAAGTGTGTGGTGGCCCTGAAAAGGGCCGTTTTGTTTGTGTTTTCACGTAAAAACTCATTGAAACTTAACGTATGTGGCGCACACGTTCTGCTTTCTCTTCATTCACGATGAATCCAATATTGCAATAATCCATACCTTGGTGAGTGGTTTGAAGCACTTAGCTTTGGTTTCAAAACGTAGCACTTCGCTGACTGTGAATTCATAACGGAAGAGCATCGCCAGGCGATGGACGCGGGGCTTTTTGGCAACGACCGCAAACGTATCCGTGTCCAGCCATTGGTTGGCCATGTAGAGGTCAAAGTACGCATTCTATTTTTACATATTAAGTTTGGCTCTTCAGTTTCACCCCCTCCGGACTGTTCTACTTTCGCAGCCTAATCGCATGTTTTTCAAAAAACGTCGAAAAAACACAAGAATTAGTAGAAATGTTCCTCTTTTGGGCGGATTATTGATAGAGAATAATTTCTTTATTGCAAAAATGCTGAAAAACCGTGAGTTATTTTTTTATTGGCGAAAAACTGCGAACTCGGCAAAATTGGTTGTACAACTTCCCTTTATCATATACACCCAGTGACACCGATGCCAGCTGACTGTGACCATAATGAGGCCTGCCGACGGTGGGAACTTGTTGCATCATAATTTTGTCACGTGTGTGGGTGCGTGAATAAATCATGTTAATGAGGACGACCAGAGTTTATTTTCAGTCTGTTTTTTATGTATCGCCATTTGGATATGTTTATGTATTCACAATAGTTTGTAAACATTTCACATCAGTAATAAAAGGTTTATTTGTTTCATAACCCTGTCTGCTATTCTTCAGTAATTACGATGCGATGTATCAATACGTGCGTGAACAAAATTATGCTAATGAGGTCATCGCCATCTTGGATTACAAGCGGTAGTTTTTCCCGACTTGCACTGATCACTGTTACTAAAATAAAAAAGTAACCGTGCATTGATTACAATACTTACCATACTTTGTAGCCAATTTCAGTGAGTAATACAACTTCATTCGCTGACGTAAAACAAGTTTTATTCTTGAAATTCGACCATGTGTCTTAGTGTTCCCACAGTTCTTGACCGAGTGCTCACGTTTATTGAAACCTCGCATAAATCAAGAAATAAGTACGTGTACAAAGTGTACGAAAGCATTCCTTTATTTGACCTTATCATACGATCACAAACACAACTTTTTAAAATCTTTTTTGGGGTGGTCCTCGGGTAAGCGCCCACCCCCAATTTTTCACGATTTTGTATGTTAAGGCCCCTGGGCGCGTGCCTGGAGTAATATGGTAAGTGTCTATTTAAATGATGGGTCATACACCCCTTGTTGGAATGGTATGGTCAAGAGAACAGATCGTCTTGTCGGAAAATTTGAATACCGGGTATGTGCACCTGGACATTGATACCTATAAAACTACGCCTTCATCACATGCTCAGGCGATTCCATCTGGCAAAACCACGTTTGACATCATTGCCTGAAGCTTGTACACAACTAATGCAGAGAAGTTACAAATCTCAACGGACCTCTCATAGAACTGATATTACGACGAACTGACTTTAACCATTGCTGGCTGCAAAGCGGCAAAGATTGAGACAACACATCGACGTAAGTTACTGTCTGTGTATCCCTGAGGAAGCCAGCGGGTCGTCTTTGCGTAGATAACGTCAACACGTGGTTGAAACAGCTATAGGACTTCGTCGAACACGTTTAATTAATTATTCACGTTTAACTGCAAGTTCTGCTTACAAGACATTGACATTCGTCGCATGATACTGGTCAGTAACACTACGTTAAGGTTACATATTTCATGCATATTTTGAGTTTATTATTGTATATTTTGGAGTGTACTTCATTTATTTAATTCATCAAATTATTATATAACTGCTGTAATTTTGTACTACTTTGTTATTCTATTGATGTGTTTTGCCAAATTAGGCTGGTCAGACGCTGGAAATTTGGCAATATTTAATGATTGAAACGGCGTCAGTTTAAACGATTCACTTGTACATTGTTTACACTTGGATGTAAGCTCCATGTTACTGTATGGGCTCTAACTCGTTGAGAATTGGTTAACATGCACAGGGTTTTAGTCCGACTTGTATTCCTGCTGGGATTTGAACCTTGTGCGGTGTGACTTAATTAATATTGACCTTTAATCTGTTCCCGTTATACTTAATAAATCGTTAACTGCTAGTATATGATTGCGTCTGTTGTATGTTCACACTGACTACACCAGGGTCACCAGTTAATGCTTGTTGGTTGTATACAAATATACAAGTCACAATTAATGCTAAAAATTAGCAGTGGGGAAAAGAACCCACAACACAAGGGCAGTCTTGTTTGGTAGCCACACTTGACTCTGCCTTTGGCAGTGACCACAGGGTATAACGGCTGATCCTCAAGTTAATTTGGATGATGCTAGTCTTAGACACTCTAGTATCGTACACACGACGATATGTTTATGAATAAATTAGCATAAATTATCACTCAAGAGATGTTTTAACTTTTATCCGTAAATAAGGGCCCCCCCTAATTTTTCGTCAATTTGCTGTTTTCCAAGAGGGGTTTATACTCGGACAACTACGGAACAACTTATTTTGTAGTATATCACTACAACTCAAAATTCTACCAACAAATCTGGTATTTCAAATTGAAGTATTCTTTGTTTCAACATCACTGGAGAACTGAGTTTGAATTCTTACAATGATATTATTTAAACAAAATTTTTTAGTAGGCCATGGAAAAAAGGTCACCAGACCACCAGGCAGGCAAGTTTTAATTTTTACCAGTCTCACTCAAAATTTTGGCAAAATGGTGAAATGATCTCCAAGAGCAACCTTAATTAATCTATGACTTTCATTTTTGCTGTTATTTGCACAATATTTTCCCTGTTTTACAAACTTTTAATCTATTGGACGACCAATATGAATGTTGAAATTTGTTTTGAAAAAAAAGTAAAAAAAGTCAGTTTTCTCAACATTTTGGGTGATATATGTTGTATTGGTTCAAATTAAACACACATAAGTTCTCATAGTCTACACATTAAATATATTTACAAAAAGGTAAAATAAAACACGTTTTTCCCAGAAATTTGGTTTAATACCTGCCTTTTTTAAATTGCATACATTTATGTACAACAATGACCAATGTTTTCACAAAGTATCAGCAAATTCCTGAAACGTTGATAAAACTGAATTGAAGAACATTTTTAATTATTATTATCAACAACATTTAAATGATACATACTCACCGTAGCTTCATTACACACATTACATTTCACAACATGTTGATGAAGTTTGCCTTCTATGTTGATCATAGCCTGACAGACTCGACAGTTTATCATTGGGACACCACCTGCTGGTGATGGTGTATATGGTGGGGGTTGTTCATCTGGCAGGATGGGTGGTGGAGGCCCTCCGACCATCGGAGGAGGAAGTTCTATAAGCGATAATACAAATAATAATTATTCTTAAAATTATAAATGAAACACATGCTTTTAATTTAATTATTCATAAATATTTCGAAATGAAAGTGTTTGTGGCATATTTTGCTACACTAACCACACATACATGTGCATGTACCAGGAATTTTGTTACCATATCTTAATGACATGTACATGTACCAGGAATTTTGTGACCATATCTTAATGACATTATGTACATGTACCAGGAATTTTGTGACCATATCTTAATGACATTATGTACATGTACCAGGAATTTCGTAAATATATCTTAATGACATAACTGATAAAAAAGTCCATAATGGACCATAAAACAATCTGTCCAATTATCAAAAGGCTGCAGTAATAATTTCAGAGGAAAACAAAATCTGGAAGTTCGTAAATAACAACAGTCAAAGCAGCAGCCGTTTTTATTTCGCAATTGACATGCGTCCCTGGAATAATGTCTCCTATGTTTAGGTGAATACATTTGTAAAATTGAATGAATACAAGTACACCAATCTTCATCTCAATTCATATAAATTACATTCCAGATTATACTAATACATGTACTATGCTTTACTGATTTCATGGCTCAGAAATTCACTTTTTGGTGGAAATTATGTTTAGTAATAGTTCCATAATCTACAGATTTCAATCAAAATGAATAAAAATATTTGTTTTCATGGTCTGCAAATGATATAGACATCTAAGCCATTATGATAATCATTCATCCATGTTTGATTGAATTTACCCCAGACCATTCGTCTCGGTGTTATCGCTATCGCCACACGAGACTCCAGCTTGTCTCCTATACAATTTGACTGCGCACATCCAGAAAGTAGATGTAGCTGTGATTGGTGGAATACTAATGAGTTGAGTGTCAATCAAACGCCCACGCTATCTTTAGTAAACAAAGTCA